TGCACGCCATCGCCAGCCTGTCGGGTGGAACTTTCTCTTTCATCGAGTCGTACGAAACGGTGCAAGACGCGTTTGCAAAGTGCATCGGCGGCCTCTTGAGCGTCGTGGTTCGTGACCTCCGCCTGAAGCTGAGATCAGCATCCCATGGCGTGCGCATCAACTCGATTCCTTCCGGAAGCTACACGAGCGAGATATCCGGCCTCCACGGCACTCGTGGGGCGATCACCGTAGGAGACCTTTATGCGGATGAGGAAAAAGATTTCCTAACCGACATATCCGTCCCCGCGTACGCCTTCAGCGTCGAAGAGGATGAAAATGAAAACGATAGGCGGACCCCACTTGTGGACGTCACGTGCTACTACAAGGACGTGGCCTCGAACGAGAGGGTAGAAATGGAGTCTGCAGAGATAAAGCGCCCGGGTGTTGTGGCTCCTGCGGATATCAAGGTGAAACTGGAAGTCGACCGGCAGATGAACCGGCTGCATGCTGCCGAGGGTTTAGCGGAGGCCCAGCGGGCGGCCGAGAAGCGGAATCTCGAAGTGGCGCGTGCGATTTTGTCGAGCACAAGGTCGACTGTTACGGCCTCGGCGTCGGGCCAGGCGGGAGACGGGCTCGCGCTACAGCTGGAAGCGGAGATGAGAGAGACTGAGGAGAAAATGGGGTGTAAGAGGACGTACGAGCAGGTGGGCAGGGCCTATGCCTTGTCGAGCATGAGTGCGCACTCGAATCAGAGGGCCTCTACCAGGCGCCGGGCGGGATCGGGCACGTCTGGGGATGCCTATGCGACCCCTAATATGGCTAATATGGTGAGCAAGTGTCATCAGGTGATCAAGATTGAAGATGTTAAAGAAGAAGAAGATTAGAATGACATAAGACGTTTCTTATATAGTTATTGCATATTAATATCTACTGCTAATTAGCTGAATACTTGAGACAATTTTTCGTATATTGGCAGCCACATTTTTTCTGTTCATCTTTACTTTACTTTCTTCTGTCTGTCTCTTTCTACTCCTCCATGTTTTGGCAAGGAATTAGTGTTGTTTGATGATGATGCTATTTCTATTTATGCCCATTTGCACGAAATTGCTAATAAATTGCAAAAGTTATGTTGAAAATTTAGCTAATTTCGTCTTAAATTCCTTTTTTGTATAGCATCACATATTCACGTATCAAATTATGGCTGGAGTAATGATTAGGTTTAAAATTGCCCGTCCCCAAATATTAACTAGTTTGATAAGTATATGGTTTTGCTCAAAATACGTTTTTCATGTAAAAAAAAAAAGTGGTGGGCACTGCTTACCATGGAAAGGTGAGCGGGACTGGATAAGTATATTTTAAAGTATGGCAAAGTTTGGTAAGTTATCTTGTCCAAAATTTTTTTAGGTACAAGTATTTTTTTTCTTCATAAAAAATAGTCATATCTTGCATTTTTCATCAATTTTAGGCCACTAATCTCGAGCACGGGATAAGACGGTGATGTGGAATGTATACAAATGACGTGGATGGATAAAAAAAGTGACATGGATGGGAAAAAACGTGACGTGGACCTAAAGTGTTGAAATAATGTCTACGAGACATGTTTTTTAACCAAATCAACCGAAGAAGAAAAAGCGGACTATTATTTCTCTCTCTTATCTCCCCCAAATCGGAAAAAAGAAACTCTCGCTTGGCCTTCTCTTGCGGTGCCTCCTCTCCGGAGGCCTCAAATCCTAGCGATTCCGGCGAGCATCCGGCTCGCCCTTGGTTCGACGGCGCTGGCGTGGTGGTTCTTTGCCTTCCCCTCCCCGTACGTGGTCCCGCTCTTGTCTACGAGCGCCATGGTGGAAGGAGCCCGAAGGCGGGGGCTGCAGGTTTGGTGTCCGGCGGTCGCTGCGGGCTTCTGTGGAAGCTGGTGGTGGCAGACCAGTCTTGGTCCTTTCCTTTTCCGGCCTCCCCTGGTGTTCGGGTGGTCGGGACCTCCGACGGTGGTGGCGTTCATTGCCGGGCCAGGAGTGTGCGTGGGGAGAGCTGTGGCGGTGGTCTGGCCATGGCGAGCTTGCGAATTCCGGTAGAGGTTCTCAGATCTGGGGCCTGGGCATCTCTTCGGGTCGTTCTGTGGTGTTTACTTGGTCGTGCAGAAGGGGGGCTCATGTCCGGTGGGGAGGGTGTTGATCTCTTTGTTATGTTTTTTGTGTTTTTAATTTGTGTTATTTTAGCTTGTTTGTGTGCAGGCTATTGTGGGTGTGTTGTGCTGTGTGGTGTTTTTTGTTATGTGTTTTGTTTTGTTGAGGCTCTTTGTGTAGGTTTTTCTCCTTTTTGGGAGTTTGGTTCTCCTCTTGTAGGAGGTTGTTCTCCTTTTTAGGAGGTTTGTTCTCCTCTCGTGGGAGTTTGTTTCTCTTCTGTTGGGAGGTTTTTGTTTTTATTTTGTGAGTGTGTTGTGGTATTTAGGCTCCCTTGGGATGTTCTCTCAGTTCGGCTAACGTCATCTTCGGTTGGTTGGCCGTTGGATGTGTTTGTAATTATGTGTAATTTTAATGAAACCTATCGTTGGAAAAAAAAAGACATGTTTTTTAACCAGTTTTCGTTCTACATTTTTTTGAACAACTATATATTTTTTTTTAATTAAGTTGTTGAGATAAAAAAATTAATTATATTGATGTATAAAACGAAAACGGTTATTATATATATCAAGTCAAAATATTAATTATAAATTTGTGAATAATGAATTTTATCAAAAAAATTCAGTACTAATTGGTTTAAATTACTTTAAATTTCTTATTTATGAAAATGGAAGAAAAATGTGAATTACATGTATAATATTCTTTTTTTCTTTAAAAAAAAGTCAACACTAATTTCAAGAATTCTTTTCCTATATCAAATAAAAATGACAATTGACTTTACATAATCTTTTAGTTTCTAGCGAGATATGAAAATAATTCCTTTTTATGAAATGATAATTATAAATATTTTGAAAATTCTGGGAATCCATAAAATCAATTTCTATTTTTGTATTATTTCTAAAAATTATTTTAATGGAAAATGTAATAAAAAAATTGAAAAAAAAATAACTGAAAAAATGATTATCTTTTAAAAGTCCAATGTATATGTGGTAAAATGTAAGAACTAAAATCACTGGATATGAAAATAACTGTAAATTGATAATTTTAAATAAGAGATAATGTATAGTGTTTTTGTCGAAAAAGGTATATAATATTAATAACTGATATTTTATTTAAATTGTGTTGATAATTATTCAAAAAAAAAAAAAGAAAAAATATAATTATTATTTTTTTTTAAGAAAATTATATCCAATAATAATTCCAATGAAAGAAATCTATCAAACCAAACAAAATATATCCAATTTCTGGTCGACCTCAAAAAATTTTGTATGTAGGATACATATTTGAGACTTGATTTTGTGAGTTCTTCTACACCTTTTGAACAGTTTTTATTTTTTTTTTCTTTTTTTGTTAATTAAGTTGTTGAGAAAAAAAATAATAATAAAATTGTATCTTGAGCCATTTTCTAAAATTTTAGCATACATATTTTCCCAGTTAATCAATTTAATAAAGTTGCATATTTGATGAAAAGGTTAAAATCCCACATAGAAATTATTTCAGTACAATCATGTTTGTATCCTTCCACGTCACTTTTTATCCACCCACGTCATTTCAATACACTCGAATCATCATTTTTCTTCCATTTTCATAAATGCAAAATTTAAATTAATTTAAACCAATTATTATTTTTTTTTGACAAAATTCATCATTCACAAATTTATAATTAATATTTTGGTATATATAATAACCAGTTTATATATATCATTATAATTAACTTTTCATCTCAACAACTTAATTAAACAAACTAAATAAACCAAGAGCGCTTGGATGAGATGACTTAATCTTTTTCAGCTTAACCAGTGGTCTCGTGTTCGAGCCCTGGGAATGCAGCAGTATTAAAACTCTTGAGAGAGAGCTTTGCCGCTCTTGTGGTCCTACCCGACTCGATTCCGAATTAATCGGCTCCTCTGTGGATCCGGAACCGGAAAGTCCCTGTACCAAA